AGATAGATAGATAGATAGATAGATAGATAGATAGATAGATAGATAGATAGATAGATAGATAGATAGATAGATGACAGACTGTATAAATCAGCATTATTGGATGCCATCACAGATTCATATGCTAAAACCATCATCCTCATGGGCTAATACACAAGGTTTGGCTTCTCATGGCCAGGTTGTGTGTCTGGCTTTGTATTGTTGTGGAGAGCTCTGGAGAGTCACATTCTGTACCCAAAGTGAAATGTTCAGAGGACAAACAATAGAAGATAACGATTCCTCAAATCAACTGTTTTTTCATAGCCCCTATTATAACAACAATGAGGAATCGTATGACAACTTAACGACACAGATAAATGAAGTGGTCTGTGATTCGCAAAAACTTGTTATAATAATGTTCTTTTACTTTGCTCTCTCTACTCTTGTCATCTCTTCTTATGCTGCTTCTTTCCTTCTTCATCCAGGTATAAAGGTGTTTACCTTATGCAGAGTTAGAGTATGGCACACATTGCCAGAGTCTAACTCTAACTGCCAACTGTTCTCCCTGGTTTTTAACAGGTATCTTTGTCAGTACTAGCTAGAGGATTTGGCATTCAAAAGTAAAGCTTCTACTTCTAATACATATACTTCTCCTTTCAGAAGTAAACTACTGATACAAAACTCCTTTCTGATACACTCCTAAGAATGAATTTATGAACAATAATTGGGATAGAGGAGACATGGAATGAAAACATTTCTACATTAATTTATGGCCAAACTCTTGATTGTCAATTGTATCTTCATGGCAAATTATTTTGTATCTGAAAATGTGGATTTTGAATTTTTTGTGATGACCATCCAAAACACCCTTTCTGTTATACATTGAGGAGATGATGCTACAATGTCTAACAATTTGCCAGGAGGTCCATAATTTCAAACCATTTATTTTGTGCCAGGGAATCTGGCACTAACACGACATCATCCATCATCCATCCATGGTTTGAGGCTCCAAACTACTATTCAAGTATGGCTTTTTTTCTCCTTCCAAGAATGAACTTCCCTTTGACATTCCATTTATGACTGCAAATGAATTCTGTCAAGTAAATGCCCCAGAGGAGGATTGCATATGCTACCCATGTCACCATCCAGAGAAGAAACTGTATTTTGGAGAGTTTCTGCCGCTGGAGGAGATGATTGGGAAGAAGAAACATCTAAACTAAGTGTGCTTCAAGAGGGTAGCCTTGCTGCTACAAGTCATCTGTGTCCTTGATAACAGGAACTGGTGATTCTTCTCCACCAAGTTGTTTATAAATAAAGCAGAAAGTCAGCCTGGGCTCTTTGTTCAGGAGATGGGATTTGATCTGATGAGGGAGGGCATCGTCATCCATCTGCATAGTTTTATTATCAAGTTGGACAAACAGCCCATAGTCCTGAGGCTCTGAGACTTCAAATTTCTCAGCGCACTGTTGAATCAACTGATGAGTTGTGGAGTCGGTCCGATATGCCAGTGTCCTTGTTTTGGCATCAGCCTCCATAAAAGAAATTGCAATGAAATCCTGGGGAAAAAAGGAAGATCACTTTTGAAATAACATTAATACTCTTCCCGACTCTATTAAAATGCAACTCTATTTGTGCAGAAAATTCCCATCTGGCCTTTTCACCACCAAAAATCAGGATGCAATTAATTAAAAACTAACAAACTGCTTTTAATAAATTCTTAAAAGTTAAAAAGGAAATAACACTATGGTAAAAATGTGATTTTAAAGGTTTAAAAATGTGGAAGAAAATATTAAAATGTGGGACAAGCGTATTAAGAGTAGATACTGCAGAGGTTCAGCAGTATCAGCTTCAGTACAAGCCTGGATTAAGATAGTTAAGTAATTGAAAGTCAGAACCGGTAGGGAAATGTGGAAGGAATTAATGATTTTTAGTTATATGATCTGAGGAAGCAGAGAGTGTGTTGCATTTCTTCAAAAAGATTAAAGATTCTCACATGTTCTAAGCTTTAATGAAACTAAGTAATGAATGCTTTCCATGCAAAAGGCCCCAGATTTAACTCCACTTCTGACAGGGCTGGGAAAACCTCTTGCCTGAAACTATGAAGCGGGGGAATTCCTTTGGAGCAGGGGTGTCAAACTCAAGGTTTGGGAGCCAGATCCAGCCCACTAGGTCCTTAGATCTGGCCTGTGGGGCCGCCCTAGAAACAGCAAAGGACTGACCTCCTGCCACCCTCTGCCAGTGAAAACAGAGCTCGGGGGGAGTGCATGTGGAGAGCACCCGTTCCCCCGCCCCGAGGGCAGCAGGAGGCTATTGTGGCTGAAAATGGAACCCAGGAGCTTGTTTTCACTGGCAGACTGCTTGTGCCCAAGCGCCACCACAGATGCCCCCAACACGAGTAACGTCAAGATGGCCATGTCCCCCCATGGCCACATCCAACCTGGCCCCCAAAGTCAAACACAACCCTGTTGCAGCCCTTAATGAAATCGAGTTTGACACCCCTGATTTGGAGGAAAACAGCCCAAAAGTATACAGGTAGTCCTCAACTTACAACAGTTCATTTAGTGACTCTTTCAAAGTTACAACGGCACTGAAAAGGGACTTACAACCATTTTTCTTGGTTATGACTATTGCAGCATCCCCATGGTCACATGATCAAACTTCAGACATAGTTCATAGTTATAACAGTTGCTGTGTCCTGATGTCATAGGATCACCTTTTGTGATCTTCTGACAAGCAACGTCAAAGGGGAAGCCAGACTCACTTAGCAACCGTTTTCTAACTTAACAACTCCAGTGATTCACTTAACAAATGAGGCAAGAAAGGTAAAAAAAATGGGGCAAAACTCACGTCACAATTGTCTTGCTTAGCAACAGAAATGTTGGGCTCAATTGTGGTCGCAAGTCGACCACTTACTGTATGGTCTTGTAGCTTTTTAAATATAAAGTTTATATATATTTGACAATTTAATATTTGTTAAAGTTCGAAGAAGAATATTTTAAGAACATTTTGGCATTTTTAGAGTGTTGATTATCAGGACTTTATCAATATTATCTGTTTAAATTTAGAGAGAGGTTGCTACGCGGTTATTTTCTCTGAACTAAAAGAAAGTTGAAGGTCATATTTGTTAGAAATTTGGCTGCTGTGTTTTTTCCCCTGTCACTTTTACTTTGTATTGTTATTCCATTCTCCCTGCTCCTTTTATGTTAGATTGTATTTTAATGTTTGATCTTGAAATTTAATATTTAACATCAATGAATAAAAGGAACTGCTAATCAGGGTAGACAATGCATAGCAAGATAGGCAAACGGTCTTCGGATAAAACCATTTGTTTTTGTTTTGATCAAATTCCTAGTAGCTGGAAAAGATTTGAAATTCAGAAGGCAACTTTTGATTATAATATCTGAAGAACTATCTGCAATGTGTACAAGTAGCACAAAATCAAGATATTCCCTGGATAGGGAGTATCTTGCATGCAAAGCTTGTTATTTGAAGAAAAAATAGTATTTGCTGCCACCTTGAGGTTGAAAGGCAGGAAATCTTAAATACTAAACTGCATTAGGGCAGCTCAAAAGTTACAAATATGGTAGGTATCACTGAGTCATGTTTCATAATAGTTGCATCATCAGATTATCACTACCGTTGTCTATTTTTTTTAACAACAACATATAACTATTCCAAGGACTTTTGATCGCCTTGACACTATTCATCAGCCTTATCCATTGTTTTTCCAGGCTGTGCAGTGCCTTGGTTTCAAAGGCAAAAAGGCAATTCAGACCATACAGTTGAAGTTCATATAAGACTGTCCTAAGCTTATTCAAAACAGGGCCATCTTTACCCAGAATTGGGTACAGCTCCTTTTCCACCTGCAGCATCGTCCCAGGAAAAGATGCATTTGATTTAAAGGGTTGATGATAGATGCTATATGTATCCACACAGACTTTAATAGAATTACAGAATGACAGAAAAAAGAAGGGACTTTGGAGTTCTTCTAGTGCAGCCCCCTGCTTGAGCAAGAGACCCTATACCAGTGGTGGGATTCAAATAATTTAAAAACCGGTTCTCTGCCTTAATGATTTCTTTCAACAACCAGTTCATCAAACTGCTCAGAAAGTTAACAACTGGTTTTCCCAAAGTGGTGTGAACTGGCTGAATCCCACCACTGCCCTATTCTATTCTAGGCAAATGGCCATCCAAACTCTTTTTAAAATTGTACTATGTTGGAGTAACCATTGTCTCTGGAGGCAAACTGTCACAATAATTAATTGTTCTTACTGTCTCCTTAATTCTTGGTTGGATTTTTGTTTTCATAATGTTCCACCCATTAATTCATGTCCTGCCCTCAGATGCTTTAGACTATAGGTTGACTCCCTCTTCTCTGTGGAATACTGGAAGACTGCCATCATTACAGCCCTAATCCTTTCCTTGTTAGACTAAACATACCTAGTTTCCACAATCATTCATCGTACAGTTTCTTCTTGAGACCTCTAATCATCTTTGCTCCTTGTCTCTGCACTTTTTCTACAGTCTCAATATCTATTTGCCTTCAGATTAAAAAAAACAATAGGGTCCAATTGTTCCCCTTTTATTCCTTTGATGTAGTTAACCATGATCACTTTTTTTCTAGTCTATCATCTTGCCCATTGTATACCTAAACTGGATGAATTTCTTTCTGTTGATCATTACCTCAAGGACAGCAGCTTTTATTTGACCCATGAATCATTGATTGGCTGCTTGCAGTCCATATTTTCTTAGGAACCATCTTCACCTCCATTATTCAAAAGCATCTATCCTTTTCTCTGACTATCTTTCAATGCCAGCCTTCATTGCATTTTATTTATTAAATTTATATGCTGTCCATCTCATTGTCCAAAGCAAATCTGGGCAAATCTTCTATTACCGTAGAATTTTTCTAATTATTCTAACTTTCGTTCTCACTGAAGTATTCTTATTTTTCACAGTGTAATCTAAATTTGTCATGGTCTTCCTCCAGTTTTGAAACTCCACTTATATTTTTCTAATCCTGCAATTCTTAATATATGCTAAGTATATAGGTTGAATAAATCAGGGGAGGGTATACTGTACAGTCATGTCACATTCCTTTGCCAATCTGGAACCAGTTTCTTTCAACATATTCTGTCCATACTGTGGTTGCCTGGCCTGTATACACGTTTATCACGAGGACAATAAATTATTCTTGATTTCCCATTTTTCTGGGCACTTTCCACAGCTTGATATAACTTACACAATCAAAGGCCTTTCTATAATCAAAGAAGCATAAAATGACTTGTTTTGGGTACTTTTTTCTCAATTATTCGGCATGCATCAGCAAAAGTGTCTTATATTCCTTGGCTTTTTCTAAAACCAGCATGAACATCTGGCATCTCTTTTTCCACGCAGGGCTCTAATCTTCTTTGGATGATCCTAAGCATTATTTTGCTACCTTGTGGAATTAAGGATATTGTACAATAGTTTGCACACTCTGTTAAGTCTCCTCTTTTTTTTGGAAATGGGATGTAGATTAACCGATCTTCCAATCCTCTGGGCACTCTGTTGTTCTTCAGATATGTTGGTATAGTTTGGTTCTTCTTTTGTTGCATGCCATTTTTCAGCTGGCATTCTATCAGCTCTCATAGTCTTCTGCTTTGGTAATGACCAGAGTGCTGATCTAACTTGATCTTCTAGTTCTAGAGGTTCTTATAAAGAAGGAATATCTTCTGAAATATCTTGGATTGTGACATCTTTACTGTACAGTGCTTCATTATACACCTTTCATCTTCCTTTGGTCTCTTTTTGACTTGGTTACTATCGGCTCACTGACTTAGTTCAAAGTGCACTAAACCTTTTTCTGAATTCAAAGATCTTTAGAAAGATTTTCCTTGTTTGTCAATGTCTGTTTCGATCTTCAATGTCTTTACCACTGTTTTTATAATAGCAATAGCACTTAGACTTATATACTCCTTCATGGTGCTTTACAGAGCCATAGTGGCACAGTGGTTAGAATGCAGTACTTCAGGCTACTTCTGCTGACTGCCGGCTGCCCAGAAGTTTGGCAGTTCGAATCTCACCGGCTCAAGGTTGTCTCAGCCTTGCATCCTTCTAAGGCAAATAAAATGAGGACCCAGATTGATGGGGGTAATATGCTGACTTTGTAAATCACTTAGAGAGGGCTGTAAAGCACCGTGAAGTGGTATATAAGTCTAAGTGCTATTGTTACAACCCTCCCCAAGTGGTTTACAGAGTCAGCATATTGCCCCCAACAATCTGGATCCTCATTTTACTGGCCTTGGAAGGATGGAAGGTTGAGTCAACCTTGAGTTGGTCAGGACTGAACCCCTGACAGTCAGCAGATTTATAGCAGCAATATTGCATTCTTACCACTGCGCCATCATGACTTCTTTATGTTTATAATGTTACTTCTTTTTTCACCTCTTTGTAACTGTTTGTGAAGTTCCTTCTGAAATTTTTGTCTTTTTGGGCTTGTCTTCTTGGTAATTACCATAGTTTGTTCTATTCAGTTTGTTAATATTTTGTCTTCTTAAAATTCAACATTAACCATGATTTTTCACTGTTCATTCACCTTCTTTCTATATAAATGTTAAGGTTTATAAAGGGTTTTCACTATCATTACTACAAGTTGCTTTATTTTTATTTGCCTCTAGCAGATTCTTTTGTGGTTCTTCTGGGTTATTACTATCTTAGCTGTAACGTTTACTGTGATTTTCCTAATATTAGAAATATCTATCATTTATTTTTTCTTCTTATTGTCCTCTGTTTGTTGACTGACATTTTCTCCTTTTTTTGCTTGATGTTGGAAGCTGTCATGCTGTTATTGCTGCCCCAAACAGGTTATCTTTTGCAAAAGTTGAATGTACTGAATCTGTTCCAGACATGAAATGCTCTTACTTTTACTACCAGTTCAGGAATAAGGAGAAATTTCCTGACAGTTAGAACAATTAATCAGTGGAACAACTTGTCTCCAGAAGTTGTGGATGCTCCAACACTGGAAGTTTTAAAGATGATGTTGGGTATCCATTTGTTTGAAGAGGTGTAGGATTTCCTGCCTAAGCAGGGGGTTGGACTAGAAGACCTCCAAAGTCCCTTCCAACTCTGTTATTCTATAACTATAAGCCAGTTTACTCTAGTGCAGGCATGTCCAACTCATGCCCCATGGGTCACATACAGCCCTGGACAGCTAATAATGTTGCCCCACAAGAAAATAACAAATATTTAAACATAAAGAAAATTTGTTACATATAAACATTAACTATATTATATATTTAATATGCAGCCCAAGACAATCCCTCCTCACTTAACGTGGCCCAGGCAAGCCAAAAGGTTGGGCAAGCATGGTTGAGGAACCAAGATAGAAACCGGGACTCTAGTTCTAGTCCTGCCTTAGCCATAAAAGCCAGCTGGGTAACCTTAGGCCAGTCATTCACTCTCTCAGCCCAACTCACTTTACAGGGTTGTTGTTGTGGGAAAGTAGGACAATGTAGGTGTATGTTGGATATGTTCACTGACTTGAGTCATTTATAAAAATAATAAAGGCAGGATACAAATAAAAGAATAAAAAATTAGAAAATAACCTCTTCAGTTTAAAAGAGTTGTGGTGGTGCAGTTTTAGAATGCAGTATTGCAGGATAATTCTGCTGACTGCCAGGAGTTTGATTCTGACCAGCTCAAGGTTGACTCAGGCTTCTACCCTTCCAAGGTTGGTAAAATGAGGATCTAGATTATTGGGGGTTATATGCTGACTTTGTAAACCGCTTAGCGAGGGCTGTAAAGTGCCTTCTAAGTGCTATTGCTATTACACTAGTGTCAGGAGTAGTTTCTTAGACGTTTTCTAATAAAAGGAAGCTTAATCTAAAAATCAGAATAGAATAGAGCTAGAAGGGACCTTGGAAGTCTTCTAGTCCAATCCCCTGCTCAGACAGGAGACCCTATACCATTTAAGGCAAGTGGCTATCCAGCCTTTTCTTAAAAATGTGCAATGATGAAGCACCCATAACTTCTGAAGGCAAAACTGTTCTACTAGCAACTGTTCTCACTGTTAGGAAGTTTCTCCTTAGTTCCAGGCTGCTTATCTCCTTGATTAGTTAGTTTCTAACTGTTATTTCTTTTCCTGTCCTCTGGTGCTTTGCAAAATAAGCTGCCCCCCTTCTTTGTGCCAGCCCCCCAAATACTGGAACACTGCTATCATGTCACCCAAGATCTTCTTTTTCTAGAATGGTTACTGGGGTGGCGATCAGAAAAAGAACCTTCTTAGTGATGGCACTCTATTGATAACTCATTCTTATCCATCCAGCACGAAGTAGAAATGTTTTTATTCCCCCAAGCTTTAAAAATAGTTATAAAAATCCTGTCATTCATTGTATGTTGATTTGAGTCTTATTTATTTTCCAAAGCTCTGCTTATTAGATCTTATGCCTTACAAAATTGTTAAGAAGAGTACTACCAACTCTTTCTGCTTTTAAACTCTACTGGAAACTTTGCCCAAGAAAAATACGTGGTTCTTTTAAAGCCAACTGAGATGATCAATGCATAAAAAGAAAGATCCATGCTTTCCTAACCTGAACAGACGATCGAGATGCCCGGGCTTTGTTAAGCGTTCTCCGTCTCTCCCAGCGGTGGATCGAATCTTGAACTTCAGTGCTTAGTTGTCGAGTGACCGCAATCTTATCATAGCTTTTGATAAGCTCTACTGCCCCATAAGTAGTGATTAAATAATAAGAACCTAGGAAAAATGAAGAAGCATAAACATACACTGAGCAATTTTTTATTCCTTTGCACTTCATGCAGCTTCATACATTGTATATAAATGGCGAGGAGGTGGAGAGGGTTAGTTTTAAATTTCTGGGCATTTATATCTCGGAGAACCTCTCATGGACTATGAATGCTAACATGCTTGCGAAGAAGGCACAGAAGAGGCTGTACTTCCTGAGAATGCTCAGGAAGATAAATCTATCTTTAGCATCTACTTCTGTCCAACTATCACAGCACCATTGAGAGTGTCCTGACATACGGCATTCTTGCATGGTATGGGAGCAGCTCTGCAGCGGACAAAAAGGCTCTACAGAGAATTGTTAAAACTGTCTAGAATATCGTCAGGCTACAGCTACAAGCCCTGGATGACATATTCACATCTCGCTGTTTGAGGAAGTTGTACAACATTCTCGGAGACTCCTCCCATCCTGCTTACAATCTTTTTGGACTGTTGCCTTCTGGCAGAAGATACAGAACAATTAAAACTCAGACCACAGGTCTTCTGAATAGTTTTTATCCCAGAGCTATAATTGCACTCAGCAATGAACTAAAGGGCCAGCATCAGTGAGCCGTTGGACAGCATTACTTGGTCTGTTGTGTGGATGCTTGGGATTGTCATGAGTGTTGGGCCTGGACTCTGGGTGTTATGTGAATTTCTTTGTATGGGTATGTTATGTACATACATAAAATGACAATAAAGTATTCTTCTCTTATGCAGCATTTCATGCTGTCTCTCCCTATGGCTTATTTTAATACTATCAAAAAGTTACTGGTTATATAATGGCTATATAAATGTTTTAAATTAAGCAAACCAACCAACGAAATTTAAATATGGAAGGGAGCATTTGTGAAAACATAGCATGGACACACCTGGGGAATCATTCTGATTGGGATAGAGAGAAACCCGAGTTTGGTTTCTAACCAATTCACTGGGTTTAAGAAAATGAAAATGGAATGGAACTGAACAACAGATGGCACTCTTACAACAGACAAGAAAGAAAAATAAGAATTCATGGGCACTGAAATATTCCTCCTTTTATCTCTTTTGGGAAGCAAGTAACCTTATATTATGGTTATTACAGAGATTTTTCAGTTTGTTAATTCTGATATTTTGCATATTTTCAACCTTTTGCCTTGATTGTTCTTACAAACATGTTATAAGGACAAGTTAAGAGACACTGAAGGAGGCATTAAATCTTTGTTGCATTTGTCATTTCAAATAGATCCAAGGAGCTGCATTCCCTCCCGTTTGTCTTCCCGAAACCAGCACTCTTTTTCCCCACTTCCGAATGATTTCATTTACTACCGGAGATGCAAATATTTCCATAAAATTTGGCAGACAGGTTTGGAAAGTCTCCATCCCAACTATTTCTTCATTCTTTAAACATCTCCTTCTTCTTTTCATAAATTGAGTTTGTGCACCTCCATCTGTTCATTGGAAGCACTGCCTAGCATTTTTGCAATACTGCTGAAGGGGAAGTAAAGGAGTATTTTCAGCCTTGTCCAATTTAGTATTGCACCATCTACATATTAAATTAAGTGTCCTCTTGCATGTGAAAACAACTCCCAAGTATGCAGATGTATCTGATATACTGTATGTTTATGCAACATATCTTTGTCCATTGATGCAACACACTTATATGCCCACCAGCAACAAATATTCTACAGTTGACTAACAAGAAAGACAAAACAATATATTATAAATATGCAAAATATCACAGCAGAAAGCTAAAAAAAAAACCTGCTTCCAGCTAATAACTACAGATAGTCCCTGCTCTGGGGTCACAGTTTATAGCAATAGCAATAGCAGTAGACTTATATACCGCTTCATAGGCCTTTCAGGCCTCTCTAAGCGGTTTACAGAGAGTCAGCATATTGCCCCCAACAATCTGGGTCCTCATTTTACCCACCTCGGAAGGATGGAAGGCTGAGTCAACCCTGAGCCGGTGAGATTTGAACCGCTGAACTGCTGATCTAGCAGTAGCCTGCAGTGCTGCATTTAACCACTGCGCCACCTTGGCTCCTTTGTTTGTTCAGTGACCATTCAAAGTTGCAGTGGCATTGAAAAAAGTGACTTATGATCATTTTTCAGACTTATGACCATTACAGCATCTCCATGGTCATGTGATCAAAATTCGGATGCTTGGCAACTGGGTTGTATTTATGATGGTGGCAGTGTCCTGGGGTCATGTGAACTGCTTTTTTGACCTCCTGACAAGCAAAGTCCATGGAGAAGCCAGATTCATTTAACAACCGTGTTACTAACTTAACAACTGCAATTATTCACTTAACAACTGTAGCTAGAAAAGTTGTACAATGGGGCAAAACTCACTCCACAAATGTTTCACTTAACAACATAAATTCTGGGCTCAATTGGGGTCGTAAATTGAGGACTACCTGTATAGCGTAAGACTAATCCACCACACCCCCCCAAAAAAAGGGTCCAAAAAAATCTGTATAAGAATATTTTAAGTCTATTAATTCTTACTCATCTTTTGGCTTTTTCTCCTCTTTTATCTTTTTAAAAATGTATTAATATCATTATTTTTGTGGAAGATTGTAAGGCAGTGTTTCTCAACCTTGGCGACTTTAAGTCCTGTGGACTTCAACTCCCAGAATTCCCCAGCCAGCTGGCTGGGGAATTCTGGGAGTTGAAGTCCACAGGACTTAAAGTCGCCAAGGTTGAGAAACACTGTTGTAAGGTATCTTCCATGTGGCTCTCTCTTAATTTTATTCATAGAAACAACCCTGTGAGGCATGTTGGACTAAGAGAGAATGACTAGCCTCAAATCACTTAGATTGATAGGAGTGGAGGATGGGCTATTGTGATCCCAGGTTAATCTCTTAACCTTTCTCACCACTGAACTATTCCTCCCAAATCCTGGCCTTGTGGTTATCTGGGCTGTAGCTGCCCAGGTATAGTAGCAATAACTGAACTACTGCAAAGAGAAAATATCAGACATGTCTGTATTCCTGGCAGTCTGGCATGTTGTTGTTGTTGTTGTTGTTATCAATATTTTCAGAAGAAAGATCTGTTTTCACATTACTGCAGCCAAGCTGTTGGGAGAGCCACTTATAATTTCCCGAAAGGAAGCTGTATTTGTATTTTTACAGTGAAAACAACATCCTGAATAGAATATTAGAGGCTAACTGGGAATCCTGTATAAGGAAGTACAGGGAAATAAACTTTTCTAAAGTCAATGAGATTTTTTTTTCCTGAATAGAAAAGATCAGGATTGTTTGCTAGGAGTTTTCTTTAATGTGAAGGGCTCTGGAGTGATAAATCCACATTACTTTCATTCTTAAAGTGCCATATGATTTGTTTTTTTCCTACTTCTCTTTCATTCCCTTTTCAAGTGCACGAACTCCCTTTGAGCCGTGATTAAACATTACCTAGGCAAAAACATGTGCCTCGTGCCTCTACGGGGATTTCTGGGGCCCATGAGTAGGGGCCAAAATAATTTGTCAGTGTCATCATAAAAACATGCAGTAACAAACCTGGGCTGCAAAAATCCAAATTACTAAGAGCAAAGTCATAGAAAAAAATCTCTCCCTTTGCTGCTTTTTAGTGATCTCTAGTGATATTACAGTAGACCAGATCAGGGAGGCCCAATAAGACACATTTAATTTTCAAAGACATACTAAATGAGGAAGATGCGAGGTGGCGCAGTGGTTAAATGCAGCACTGCAGGCTACTTTAGCTGACTGCAGTTCTGCAGTTCGGCTGTTCAA